TCAATAGAAATAAAAGTTAAACATGAGATATCTTAGGTCACTCAGACTAGCTCTTGTCAATACAGGCTTGTTCCCTAGAATGGATAGCTCTTGTTCTCAGTTGTCAGGTGTTTGGTTTTTTTTTTTAATTAAAAAAGACAAGGCACATTTTTTCTTTTACATAAAAACCATTCCAGAGCACAGCTTATCTCAGCAGCATTTTCTGGTCAGTCAACAAGCCTTTTTAGGATGTTACTTACCTCAGCCCGTGTAACTTCTTTTTTGCTTTTGAGGTTGTGTGTCTCAGTAATCTTTGTTCAGCTTCACCTGTATTTAACTCTTTATTATTTCTGTAGAAAGTAAATACCTTTTTAAACCCTTTGTTGTGCATTCATTGTGCAGGCAATACAAACAAAAACATGAAGACGTGCCATTTCAAGGTTTCAGTAGTATGCCTTACAAATGCACAGTTGTGTGTAATAAAAAAACCAAAACAGTTCTCTACAGTAAGAGCTGGAAGCGTGTGCATTTGTGGAATTCATTGTACATCACCAGGTGTAAGTTTCTGGTGTAAAACTTAAGTTTATAGAAATATTTGCACTGTAGAAGCACTGTTTTCCTCACCCTGAACCGGGGTAAATACAGTTCATGATTTATTTCCTCTTTGCACAGGACTACCATGACTGAACAATTATAAATATCTAAACTTGGACAACTTATTGTAGCATTTAGGCAATATTAAAATGGCGGAGTACTGAAATGCTTTCTTTTCACAGATGGGAGTTTTACTGAAGAAAAATCTTCCAGAAAGCTATGCCTAAGATTTTGCTTTTTAGGCATGCTTATTCCCAAGGCACTAAGAGAGTAACCAAGCTCTTACTAACTGCTAAACTTAGGACAATATAGTCATAGAGAATGGGAGAGTGCTACAGTAATGGAGATCCTTCTCTATTTCAGGAGGCTAGTAAAGGACGGACTTTTTTAAAAAAAACAAACCCAAACCTAGGTCAACATAGTATATTTAGCTGTTGACCAAGAAAAAAAGATATTTAGGAGCTTGGCACAGACCTTTTACTCTCCATTAAATTAAATGCACCTCACTGTAGGAAATAGAAGAAAACTAAATTTTTGTCGTTGTTTATTGCATAAAGCTTATGAGTGGAGAGGACTGAAAGCCTGCTCTGAATCTGTGGATTGCCAGTTTGTTTTTTGAGATGTGCTCACTTGTTTCGTACCTTCCCTCCTCCAGTGCCACCACCTTGCCAGCAGAAAGCTCTGCTTGTGCACGCACACAGCAGGAGGAGGAAATGCATCTGTCACACCCAGATCACTGTGAGTTACATCAGTGTGAAGGTTGAGCTCTGTTACCCTGCTGCTGTATGGTCCTCAGAGGAGCACCTCCCAGCAGTGGAGTGACATGCCTGTACTGGAGAGGGTCGTTTTGTCAGTCTCACACCAATGGAGACTCTCCTTTGTTGGGCAGAATCCCCCACTTCAGCTAGGGTTTGACTCTGGTTTTGGCTACCAGAGTAGCAACTCAAGTTTGAGTCTTGAACAGCAGCTCGGCCTGAAAGAGTG